ATCGGCGGAGCGTTGTCAAGCAGCAAAGAGAGCGGCCCCTCAGCCCCCTGCAGGACAACAGCAGCAGCAGCAGCAGCAGCAGCAGCAGCAACAGCAGCAGCAGCAACAGCCACAACAACATCAAAACACGACAGAACATTAGAGGGGAGGAGGGGAGGAGGGGAGGGCGATATTGAAGATAGGGGCCATGTGTGTCACGAAAGCAGACTAAAAAAATACTGCACACGATTTGGTACATCCAGGAGGCCAAAATAAACAATCGTCAGAGTCTCCTGCGGCACCAGATACCCGAACGTTCCAGAACAAAAAGCGTCAAATGATAGAAACCCAGCGACGGTTCAACCCCCCTGTCAACATTCCATCTAGCTTTCGGCGAGAAACAACATTGGCCACCAACAAACCAAATGGAGAGACAAGATATCTTCCCACCGAAAACAAACTGGAAAATGACCTCGGGGTTGATATTCTCACCTCAGACGCTTCTTCGAGGGTCATCGAAGAGGGCAAAAGCTGAGTACCCTTGAACAGCCGCTGCAAGGATGCGGGAATCTTTCCAGGAAACTTCTTCTCGAGCTCTTCCTTCAGCTCGCCCACTGTCCAGTCCGACCTCGCGGCGACTTCCCCCCGCTGTTTTTTTGACGGGGGTGGACAGGAGAGTGAGGGAGAGAGAGGGGGGGTGGAGGGGTAGTCATAGTCGTGCATGCCGTAGTCGTTAGACCATTGACCTCGCATCCCTACAAAGCCGGGACGGAGCACGCCGGGTTCTCACCTACCAACGGGGGGGGGGGGGTACTCATAGTCGTGCATGCCGTACTCGTTAGACCATTGACCTCGCATCCCTACAAAGCCGGGACGGAGCACGCCGGGTTCTCACCTACCAACGGGGGGGGGGGGGTACTCATAGTCGTGCATGCCGTACTCGTTAGACCATTGACCTCGCATCCTGCATCCTGCTAAGGGTGTTCGGCATCTTGTGCTTACTTCCTTGCGTACGGATGACAGCTGCGTATGAATTAATTTATTTTCTGGTGCTTTCACTTCCAGAGACAGTTGTAAGCACTGTGTAACTGCCTCGAGGGTGCTTGACCATTTTAACACAACGTGGTGCGATCATCCCCCTTGCGCGGAGTGAGGGTTCACCCCGCACAACATGATCTACTCAACCATCATTATGGTTACCGCCCAAAAAAAAAAAAAAACAGAGGTAAGAAAAAACGGTCACCTGGTTGCCGAGTTCACGAAGTGAATTGGTTTATTTTACAACGTCGTTGCCAAGCGACCAAAACCCAATCCCGATGGCAAACCACCGGAGGGGGGGG